AGCAAGAAAACAAATGAGTTCTAGAAGAGAGATGGAAAAAGAAATAAATGATAAAGAAATAATCAATAAAAAGGGTTTTTATTGTCCCTTTAGCTCAGAGACTGAAGAACGGAGGTAGAGGTGGAGACTGAGATACAGGACCAACCCTAATTTACAGGAACTTTAAACTAACTTAGATTAGTTATTTTTATATTTTTTTGTTTTTTTTGTATAACTTCGGAAATTTACTTCAGGTGTCGAGTCGAATATTTGATCGAATTTCAACTCTTATGTTGGTAAATTCGTATGTTTAGGCATCGTAATAGAGGTTCTGCTGTATTTCCACAAGGAAACCAGTTTCTCTTTGACAACATGATGATTATAAATAAACAAATAATTTCCCTCTGGGATTATTAAAGTATTTCTGATTAAAAACTACCTCTGGGCTCCACTCATCTTAGTTACTGATCACACAATAAATCCTTTAATAAATCCTCCAAATGTATCATCATTTTTTCTGGATTATTCTGAATCCTTTAGGTTTAATGTGGCTCACCGGTCCGGAGCGGGTCGAGGAAGAAAAAGAACTTGCGAACAGCCGTACAGACGTAGAAAGAGTAGAAGGATTTCTCCAGTCCGTCCAACTGGGGCAGAGTGGGGATCAGCTCCAGGATGTAGTTCTCCAGGTCCTGCAAAGAGAAACCCGACGGGTTAAACCACCTGAGATTCAAATTATTCCTAACACTCCTAACCCTTTCTGCAGACATTCCTGGTTCTGGATCTGTGGTTGGGAGTTTCCTAAAGCCCCGTGTTCCTGCTCTGCTACTACTCTGCATAGTCTTATTGCTGTCATAACTTCTACCATAATCATTAGTATTAATATCATTGGCTGCCAAAGACGTCTATAGACGTCTTTTATGTTTTTCAACGAGAGTGGCTGGGGGACGATCTGCTAAAGCTTGTCCGTAAATATCAGGCTTCTAGACAGAGTATGTAGTAACAAATTGACCCTCTAGGGGGCAGTGCCACTTTTGATGGGAGATGAGCATAGACTGTAGGCAAATAAGAAAAAGGGAACGGTTCTATGAGAGAACATGTCGCCGGTGAGACGCAAGTCCAGGAAGAACGGAATAAGGTAGAAACACATTTTTTTTCCTGATGAAAGAAGAGAGTCTACTCTTTCTTTTGGTGTGTTCGGTGTTTACATAGTCATAGCACAAACTATTCTGTGGCTCTTGAAAAATCAGTCAAAATGCTCAAAAAACTCTGGCAGTCAATGAGTTGATCTAAAATCAGCTTATATTTTTGAATGGAATAGCTAAATGTTTCACGGCTGCTTTACATTTAGCACAGTGGTCAAACCACTTTACAGTTTAAATTAAATTACATCTAAAATAAATGAAGAACCACACACCTTTTTGACCTCCTGCAGGATGCTGACGGCCTCCCTCCACCTTCCCGTACGGCTGAAGGACTTAATGAACAGACTGGAGGCGCCGGTCTCCAGGGAGGGGAAACTTCCCCGCATGATGTCGTAAACATCAGCCACCTCCTCATCATGGCCGCCGCTCACACACAGAGTTAGATATCGAAGCAGCACCTCATAAGAAAGCGTTCCTGATTCACTGGCTACGAAAGTCAGCAGGGACCTGGGACAGAGAGAGGGGTTCACTTTAAAATGGCCTTCAATATCTGATATACAGCGGGGGAAATAAGTGTTTGACCCCTTGCTGATTTTGCAGGTTTGCCCACTTACAAAGAATGCAACGATCTATAACTTTAATCATATGTACATTCTAACAGTGAAAGACAGAATCCCAAAGAAAATTCCAGAAAATCACATCATATGATTTTATAAAAATTGATAACCATCTGATGAGGAAAAATAAGCATTCTTTGTAAGTGGGCAAACCTGCAAAATAAGCAAGGGGTCAAATACTTATTTCCCCCACTGTATTAATCCCTTTAGGATAAATAATCCAACTTTTACATGTTAAATTTGTTATTTTCTGTTTGATAAAAGGGAAATATGAGCATCTCTGAGTCAGTAATGCTCCTCTTACTTTGCGATGTCCAGGTCTGAGCCAGAGGAGAACAACACCCCCATCATCCTGATGTCAAAACGCTCCTGATTTCCCAGAGACTCTTTCAGCTTCCTCCATTCAGCAAGAGAGAGAGGCCGGTCAGGAGGCTCCAACCTTCCTGTGAAGAAACGCCTGTGCTTTAGTGCAGGAAACTCAATCCATCGTTAGAAAAATACTCATAGACTTAAGAACTCTTTTGTCCCCCACGCCATCAGACTGTAAACGCCTCACTGGGGGCGAGGAGGTGACACAGGACAGGGGGAAGAGATATCACATACACTGTACTTAATCTGTATTTTCTGTATTTTTATTTATTTATTTATTTGTATTTTTTTGCTTAATTTAATTCTAACTTGATACTTTTTGCCCTTTAAGCTGCTGGTAACCTTAATTTCCTGAAGGAGTCTTCCCAAGGGATCAATAAAGTACTGTCTAAGTCTAAGTCTAAGTCTCTTCAGAAAAGTCCGGAGAGGTGTTCTCTAAAAACTGAACCAGGTACCTTACCTCGAGTTCTCCTCTGTTCTGGTTCTTCTTCATGCAACTCTGTGTTTCCAGAGCCCAGAGAAGCTTTCATCTTCATTATTTCCGCCGTCTTCTTCGCAGTCCCAGCAGCAAACACAGATTTGGGAAAGGAAGGCCTCGGCTTCAAAGCAGATCTCTTGTTTCTTCCATCCACGGCATCGTCCCATAACCCTGTCCTGGCCTGTCTGATGGCACCTTGTCCAGCAGACTTTGGGTTGCTCCTTTTGTCTGTGTGTCTGCCTCCCAGGTCTTGATTTGTGTCTCTTGAGCAAAGAAAGCGTGCTGAAGAAGCCAACTGCGGTGGCTGCCATAAACAAGTCTTTACAGTTAAGAAAGCTGGACGTTCTTGGTTAAAGAAAGGCTGTAAACATACCCTGACTTTTAACATCCAGGAAGAGCCCATGTTAAGATGTTTAACAACCGGGGTTTTTGAGAAACGTGTAAATAATCTATTGCAAAGCTTTTTATTCACATTACCGTTATAATGAATAGAAAAACTTTCATTTCCTTAACAAACTTATTACTAAAAGGCACATTCTCTTACATTACTATAACCTGTCAATGTCATTAACTACTTAAAGCGATAATTAATTACTTAAAGCTTATTATCGTCCTCTAGTTGGCTCTGTTTGGTATCATAATTATAGTTACCTAATCACAAAAGTCATTTTCTTAAACCCAAAATAGCCAAACCGAGCATCTACTTCAGTTTCGCTGCAGCCACAGCTGAAGGAAGGCATGACTCCTGGTCGCACACTTTCTGCGTCATCAATGATAGACTCAATTATGGTGCCGCCTTCACTGTATCTCGGACACATCAGATTCAAGTTGGCGTATTGGATCAAGAATATCTTAAACCAGATTCAGGTCTAGTTTTAAATTTGTTTTTAAGTAGAATCAAGTTAAAGCTTAGGTTTTAACTTTATTAGTAGTTGGTTGTTCTGTCATTTAGTTTTTTTAAATAAATTCCCGGTTCTCGGTCAGTCTTAATGCAGCATTAAATGTTCAAAACAAAACAAAAAAACAACTAAATATTAGATAAACTTATCATGCGATCTCTTAAGAGTTTTAAGTTGTAATGGGTTTGCACAACTTACAGACATAATACACGATTAATTTTTTCTCTTGCATTGTTTTGTGTTTTTCTTTTTTTAGATTGAAACTGAAAAAAACTGACCGGAAGCGGCAGTTTGCGGGAAGATGTATGTCGCCTTTTTCTCAGTTTGCTAGTTGAGTTTTAATTTTTTTTATTCTATTTTATTGGAATACAAGGATGAGAGATTTATATCAGGTTGAACTCTAAGTCGTCATGGCCCAAGAAGAAAAGCCTCAGTGGTCGGAGGTCCTGAAGAGGAGGTTAGCAAACTCCCAAACCGGTGAGGAAGGACGTAAACTGAAGCTAAACACTTGCTAGCTAGCTAACTTGATGATGCCTTAACGGTTTGTTTTCTCTTTGCTGTCAAGACGAGAGAAGCGAGGAGGAAAAGAAAGCAGAAGAAACCGAGCTGTTCACTAAATATTACACCGACTGGAGGGAAGGACGCGATAGCGACAAGTCCTACAAGACCATCCCTCGTTTCTACTACCGGGTATCTTTAAATACACAAATAAAACACAGCCATAAACCCAGAAACTTCCATCACGTTCATTGGTTTACCGCATAGATGTAGGGGAAATAAACTGTGTTGAGTTAAGGTTAAAGAAAGCAACAAGGACACAGAAAGATAACAAAAATTATACACTTAGTGTTTCCCTGTTGTTCTGCCTTACAACACTGAGATTAAACATAGACGCTTAGAAAAGGTCAAAGGTCATCAATAAGGAGACATAAATTCCTGTAACCTGATGAGGAACAAGTGAGAGTTGATTTTTACAGAAATTATGGCTCATCAGCAAACTACTGGTGTAGTTGTGTTTATTTATCTTAGCTTCTGTTGAATTTCTAGCACCATTACTTCACTTTAGGGTGAAATGAGGACGTTTTGATGTTTTACAGCTTCCAGCAGAGGACGAGGTTCTCCTTCAGAAACTGAGGGAGGAGTCCAGAGCCGTCTTCCTCCAGAGGAAGAGCAGAGAACTTCTGGATAATGAGGAACTTCAGGTGACAAACCCGACTCCAGGCCTTCAGAAACTCCAGAAACAACAGCTCATGTCTCAAACGCTCTTGTTTCTTTGTGTAGAATCTCTGGTTTCTGCTGGATAAACATCAGGTGCCTCCATTAAGTGGAGAGGAGGCTATGATCAACTATGAGGCCTACCTCCAGGTTGGGGAGAAGGCCGGGCCCAAATGCGGGTAGGAAGTGTTCCACAGAAAACGTTCATTCAAAATAGTTTGAGCTGATTAGCTAAGACTGTAAAATCTTACTAAAGGGTCCTTTGGTTGAAAGAAAGCTTAATATACTTTACATATTTTCTCCTTTCTGTCTTTCAGTAAATTCTTTACAGCCAGAGTTTATGCAAAGCTGCTTTACAACGACCCTTACGGCCGGATTTCCATCATGCAGTTCTTCAACTACGTCATGAGGAAAGGTATAAGTGTCCTTAATCATTGACTGCCAGAGTTTTTTTGAGCATTTTGACAGATTTTTCAAGAACCACAGAATAGTTTGTGCTATGACTATGTAAACACCGAACACACCAAAAGAAAGAGTAGACTCTCTTCTTTCACCAGGAAAAAAAATGTGTTTCTACCTTATTCCGTTCTTCCTGGACTTGCGTCTCACCGGCGACATGTTCTCTCATAGAACCGTTAGCTTTTTCTTATTTGCCTACAGTCTATGCTCATCTCCCATCAAAAGTGGCGCTGCCCCCTAGAGGGTCAATTTGTTACTACATACTCTGTCTAGAAGCCGATATTTACGGACAAGCTTTAGCAGATCGTCCCCCAGACACTCTCGTTGAAAAACATAAAAGACGTCTATAGACGTCTTTGGCAGCCAATGAGTTAATAATTTGTTATAGCTTCTTTTTTTATTTGGTTTTGTTGCTGTTTCCCAGCTCTGTTGGCCTGTCTGGACTCAGGCTTTGTGGTGAATGTCCGATCGCTGACTGGTTTCTGTTCCCCTCCAGTGTGGCTCCACCAGACCCGGATCGGCCTGAGTCTGTACGACGTGGCCGGACAGGGCTACCTCCGGGAGTCGGTGAGAGTTTAATTCAATTCAATTCAATTCAATTTTATTTATGTAGCGCCACATCACAACAACAGTTGTCTCACAGCGCTTTTCCAAACAGAGCAGGTCAGACCTACTCTGAAGTTAACTACAGAAACCCAACAAGCACTAGGCGACACAGGCAAGGAAAAACTTCCTTTTAACAGGCAGAAACCTGGAGCAGAACCATGGCTCAGGGTGGGCGGCCATCTGCCTCGGCCGGTTGGGGGTGAGAGAGATAGAGAGGGCAAGAGAGAGGGGAAGAGAGAAGGACAGAGGGAGAGAGAGAGAGGACAGAGGTAGAGGTAGAGAGAGAGAGAGAGAGGACAGAGGTAGAGGTAGAGAGAGAGAGAGAGAGGACAGAGGTAGAGAGAGAGAGAGAGATAGAGAGAGAGAGAGAGAGAGAGGGCGAGAGAGAGAGAGAGAGAGAGAGGACCGAGGTAGAGAGAGAGAGGCAGCCTACACAGTAACACATAGACTAGATGAAAAATGGCAACGATATTAATACTAATGATAATAAAATAGCAGTTAGCTTAGCAATAAGACTATGCAGAGTAGTAGCAGAGCAGGAACACGGGGGCTTTAGGAAACTCCTAACCACAGATCCAGAACCAGGAATGTCTGCAGAAACTGTTAGGAGTGTTAGGAATAATTTGAATCTCAGGGGGTTTGAAACCGTCGGGTTTCTCTTTGCAGGACCTTGAGAACTACATCCTGGAGTTGATCCCCACTCTGCCCCAGCTGGACGGACTGGAGAAATCCTTCTACTCTTTCTACGTCTGCACGGCCGTTCGCAAGTTCTTCTTCTTCCTCGACCCGCTCCGGACCGGTGAGCCACATTAAGCCTAAAGTATTCAGAATAATCCAGAAAGAATGATGATACATTTGGAGGATTTGATAAAGGATTTATTTTGTGATCAGTAACTAAGATGAATGGAGCCCAGAGGTAGTTTTTAATCAGAATCAGAAATACTTTAATAATCCGAGAGGGAAATTATTTGTTTATTTATAATTATCATGTTGTCAAAGAGAAACTGGTTTCCTTGTGGAAATACAGCAGAACCTCTATTACGATGCCTAAACATACGAATTTACCAACATACTAGTTAAAATTAGATCAAAAATTCGACTGGACACCCGAAGTAAATTTCCAACATACGACGTATGACATAGACGTTGAGAAAAAAAACATAAAAATAAGTAATCTAAGTTGGTGTAAAGTTCCTGTCTAAAGTCAGAGTGAGTTAGGGCTGGTCCTGTATCTCAGTCTCCACCTCTACCTCCGTTCTTCAGTCTCTGAGCTAAAGGGCCAATAAAAACCCTTTTTACTGATTATTTCTTTATCATTTATTTATTTTTCCATCTCTCTTCTAGAAGTCATTTGTTTTCTTGCTCTGTGTAATTATCTGCAGTATTTATTAAGGAGTTATCGTAGGTTTTTGGAACCAATTCTAGGAATTACAGAGTATCCTGATGGAAGATTTGAACCAACAAACCAATATTTAACACAGAAGTCACTCCTGGAACCAGTTAAACTCCTATTTAGAGGTTCTGCTGGATTTCTCTACTGCAGGTCATGTGTGGCTCAGCCATGTTGTTAAAAATGTCCTTTTTTCCTCTTCTAACAGGAAAGATTAAAATCCAAGATATTCTGGCCTGCAGTTTCCTGGACGACTTGTTGGAGGTAGGAGAGTTAAACCCGTTTAATTAAAGCCCACTGGCACCATCTTCCTCTAAATGTTTTGCTTTTTTAAATGACTTGTATGGGGACGGTTTTTCTTATCTGTGTACGTTTGTTCTTCTGGGTTTGCATCTTCCAGCTGAGAGACGAGGAACTTTCCAAAGAGAGTCAGGAGTCCAACTGGTTCTCGGCCCCGTCGGCTCTTCGGGTCTACGGTGAGAAAGCACGTTTAGTGGGATTAGTCCAGCCTTTTCCCTCAATCTGCTGCCTTTTAAACCTGCCCCAGTAGCTCTTATTGATGTTTTCCCTGCTTTTAGGTTTTATTTTTATCAATTTCGGAGTGGATGTGAAACTTTTAGGCGACTAGTGCTTCTTTGGATTTCCTTAATAGTGTTTTTAAACTTCTGGCTAACCATCTTTTGAATCAAATTAATCAAATTTTGTTTTGAATTGGCTGCCAGTACGACGGGCATCTGCTTAACTCATTGGCTGCCAAAGACATCTATAGACGTCTTTTATGTTTTTCAACGAGAGTGACTTGGGGGACGATCTGCTAAAGCTTGTCCGTAAATATCAGGCTTCTAGACAGAGTATGTAGTAACAAATTGACCCTCTAGGGGGCAGTGCCACTTTTGATGGGAGATGAGCATAGACTGTAGGCAAATAAGAAAAAGGGAACGGTTCTATGAGAGAACATGTCGCCGGTGAGACGCAAGTCCAGGAAGAACGGAATAAGGTAGAAACACATTTTTTTCCTGATGAAAGAAGAGAGTCTACTCTTTCTTTTGGTGTGTTCGGTGTTTACATAGTCATAGCACAAACTATTCTGTGGCTCTGGAAAAATCTGTCAAAATGCTCCAAAAAACTCTGGCAGTATGGGACTCTCTGTTCTGAAAATGGCTGCCAGTCAATAATGAGTTAATAGTGTTTTTAAACTTCTGGTTGAGTGAATAAACACCATCTTTAGAATCAAATTAATCAAATTTTGGATTGAATTGGCCGCCAGTACGACGGGCATCTGCTTAACGTTCTTCCCAGTGAGCTCTTTAGGATCCTTTATGTGTAAAATCCTGAGCAGAACGGCTATCTAACAGAACCGGACCTGCTCCTGCTCTCCTACAGGCCAGTACCTGAACCTGGACAAGGACCACAACGGGATGCTGAGCAAAGAGGAGCTTTCCCGCTACGGCACGGCCACCCTCACCGCCGCCTTCCTGGACCGGGTGTTTCAGGAGTGTCTCACCTACGACGGGGAGATGGTACGACCCGCAGCAGGGTTTTTTTTTCCAGGTGTATAGGGGGGACTCACCTGTTCCTGTGTTCCTCCCAGGACTATAAGACCTACCTGGACTTTGTGCTGGCCCTGGAAAACCGGAAGGAGCCGGCCGCTTTGCAGTATATTTTCAAGCTTTTGGACATGGAGAATCAAGGATACCTCAACGTCTTCTCTCTCAACTTCTTCTTCAGGGTATTTCCTTCACACAGACGTGTTTTCTTTGTTTTAGACTGGGGATGTCCCCATCCAGCTTTTTCAGAATCAGAATCAGAATCAGAATTAGGTTTATTGCCAAGTAGGTTTTTCACCTACAAGGAACACTTCTGTGAGAAACAAGAAAGGACATACAATGTAGAAATAAAAATATAGAATAAAATAAAATATTGAATGTCCAACGACAGACTAGAAAATGTTTTATCCCGATCCCGGCCTATCAGAGCATGTGTTAAAGTTTAAAGTTATTTATCTACTTACTTAGTTGTCAGACTCATGTTGAACAGGGATTTACTCTGATAACAACTTAATGGTTAGGACTCAGATCTGTGGGTTACAGATGCTAATGCTAATGCTAATGCTCTGATAACAACTTAATGGTTAGGACACAGACCTGTGGGTTGCAGATGCTAATGCTAATGCTAACACTTAAGGCTGTGCTGGAAAATGACCAGACCAGATATTAGGTAGAAACACAGCCATGTGGAATGGATTATTTTCATAAAAAAACTGGATCTGGAGTCTGGATCAGCATTTTCTCATTTTTTTGCAAATATCAGATCAGGACAAGCCCTATTTTAGACGTCCCCTTTGATCTGAAGTCCAGCCCCAGAGACCCTTTTTGGGGATAACCCCCCTCCTGATGTTCCAGGACTTGTGTTTCTGTGTTCCAGGCCATCCAGGAGCAGATGAAGCTGCACGGTCAGGAGCCCGTCTCCTTCCAGGACGTAAAGGTGAGCAGTAGTGTGTGTCCCTCCTTATCCAGGCTGGTGTCGATGACGTATGTCTATTTGAAATATACAGTGGGGGAAATGAGTATTTGACCCCTTGCTGATTTTGCAGGTTTGCCCACTTACAAAGAATGCAACGATCTATAACTTTAATCATATGTACATTCTAACAGTGAAAGACAGAATCCCAAAGAAAATTCCAGAAAATCACATCATATGATTTAAAAAAATTGATAACCATCTGATGAGGAAAAATAAGCATTCTTTGTAAGTGGGCAAACCTGCAAAATCAGCAAGGGCTCAAATACTTATTTCCCCCACTGTAAGAGCCAGCAAAATGCAATGGATCCACCCCTCACATTTTGTGGACTTTGGACATAATTACGAGTTTGTTAGCGATCTATTAACCCTTTAAAGCCTGATCCAAGAAAAATAGGAAGAATATTGGATTTTTTTTAGTCTGAAGTCTTTCTTTGGCCCCTCAACAACATATGAAGAAAAAAAAACAGAAATTATTTTGATCAAATTAGCGTACAATAAGTAAAAAATATATGTTGGTGTAGTCTTCTACTGGCTGTTATCAGGTATATCTGAATGTGTACAACAGGGGTTTGAGCAAAGCTTTTACCACTGAATGATGCAGAAAGTCTCAGATCCAAAAGAAACCGGATCAGATATGACACATTTGGGATTATAGGGTTAAAGCTTCATTGTATCATAAAGACAGACATCATATAAAAGTTTATAATTCATGTATGAGCATCACAAACATCCATCCGTCCATTATCATAACCACTTATCCCCTAATGGGGTCGGGGGGGAGGGGGATTGAGCCTATTCCAGTAGCCAATGAGGAGAGGGGGGGTCATCACAAACATCATTGATTAATTAATTTAACTCATTGACTGGCAGCCATTTTCAGAACAGAGAGTCCCACACTGCCAGAGTTTTTTGAGCATTTTGACTGATTTTTCTAGAGCCACAGAATAGTTTGTGCTATGACTATGTAAACACCGAACACACCAAAAGAAAGAGTAGACTCTCTTCTTTCATCAGGAAAAAAAAAATGTGTTTCTACCTTATTCCGTTCTTCCTGGACTTGCGTCTCACCGGCGACATGTTCTCTCATAGAACCGTTACCTTTTTCTTATTTGCCTACAGTCTATGCTCATCTCCCATCAAAAGTGGCACTGCCCCCTAGAGGGTCAATTTGTTACTACATACTCTGTCTAGAAGCCCATATTTACAGACAAACTTTAGCAGATCGTCCCCCAGACACTCTCGCTGAAAAACATAAAAGACGTCTATAGACGTCTTTGACAGCCAATGAGTTAATCTTTCAGACACCAAAACCAGAGTCTCATTATAATCACACTGTACGTTTTACATCTATCGTCCACTTGATGGAACAATAGAGTAAAATCAGATTTCACTCACTTCTGATCCTCGTCTCCCCCCAGGACGAGATCTTTGACATGGTGAAGCCCCGGGACCCGTACAGGATCACGCTGCAGGACCTGGTCTGCAGTTGCCAGGGCGACACGGTGGTCAGCATCCTCATCGACCTCAACGGGTTCTGGACCTACGAGAACCGGGAGGTTCTGGTCGCCAACGACAACGATGGAGGCAGCTCAACCGACCACGATGACCCCTGAGAGGAGGGGGGGGGGAATTAGGCTCCGCCCCCAACCAGGTGAGGCCTGGTAGTAGTCCGCTACTCTGATCTGTGTAAATACAGTTTCTTGTTCCTTTCATTTTTTGTAAAGAAGCCTTTTTTTCGTACATGAAATGTTCTTCTAACACCCAAAGTTTGTTATAAAAGTTCATCAAAAAATTATAAAGGAACTCAAATGTGGTTGTAATGTTCTTCTATAGTCAAAAAAGTTTGTTTTTAATAATGACAATTCATCCATCACTCCGAGTATTCAAAATGTATTAATGGAGAAAATATAAATACGTATACAAAGATTGACTTTAAAGTTTAAATAATTCAAGTTCCTTTCATTTTTCGTAAAGAAGCCTTTTTTTGTATATGAAATGTTCTTCTAACACCCAAAGTTTGTTACAAAGGTTCATGGTAAACCATTAAAAAACGATAAAGGAACTCAAATGTGGTTGTAATGGTTTTCTATAGTCAAAAAAGTTTGTTTTTAATAATGACAATTCATCCATCACTCCGAGTATTCAAAATGTATTAATGGAGAAAATATAAATACATATACAAACATTAAGTTTAAAGTTTAAATAATTAAAGTTCCTTTCATTTTTTGTGAAGAACCCTATTTTTTGTTTATGGAATGTTCTTCTAACACCCAAAGTTTGTTATAAACGCTCACAGTTAACCATTAAAAAATGATAAAGGAACTCAAATGTGGTTCTAATGTTTTTCTATTGTAAAAAAAATGTGTAAAAAGTTTGTTTTTATTAATGACAATTCATCCATCACTCCTAGTATTCAAAATGTATTAATGGAGAAAATATAAATACATATAAAAAGATTAAGTTGAAAATTGAAATAATGAAAGTTCCTTTCATTTTTTGTAAAGAAGCCTTTTTTTTGTACATCAAATGTTCTTCTAACACCCAAAGTTTGTTATAAAGGTTCACAGTAAACCATTCAAAAATGATAAAGGAACTTGAATGTGGTTGTAATGTTCTTCTATAGTAAAAGTTTTTTTAATAATGACAATTCAGCCATCACTCCGAGTATTCAAAATTTATTAATGGAGAAAATATAAATACATATACAAAGATTAAGTTTAAAGTTTAAATAATTAAAGTTCCTTTCATTTTTTGTGAAGAACCCTATTTTTTGTTTATGGAATGTTTTTCTAACACCCAAAGTTTGTTATAAACTTTCACCGTAAACCATTAAAAAATTATAAAGGAACTCAAATGCGGTTGTAATGTTTTTCTATAGTAAAAAAAATGTGTAAAAAGTTTTTTTTTAATAATGACCATTCAGCCATCACTCCGAGTATTCAAAATTTATTAATGGAGAAAATATAAATACATATACAAAGATTAAGTTTCAAGTTGAAATAATTAAAGTTGTTGCATATTTACTCATTCGTAAAGAGAAATGTGCCCTTCATTCCTGACAGTTTGAGGATATTTACCCACATTAATTCACCACCTGAACCAGGTTTAGCTTCAGGTCTGAGGTCCGTTTGCACAACACAACACACAGCATACGAGGGGATCAGAATTATTAATAAGAAGCTTACAGCGGCTCAAACAAGGACGCTTAAAGAACGAGCTTCTCAACGATGATCATGACCTCGTTTGGCCACTAAATAAAAACTGAAAGCATCTCTCCAGTAGATATTCTGTTAGTGTTTCTGTCTATAGGTCTGGGCTATATCAGGCTGGAAACTACAGTGTTTTGCTCTGCAGAACCAGAACCAGAACTAGAACCAGAACCAAAACTAGAACCAGACGTTTTACAGCTAAGGCTGATTCACAACAGCATCAACAATAAGTTTAATTCTACATCCACCGTGTTGTTTGATACATAAATATAAGAGTTCACCTCACAGATCAAACTGTTTATGCAGGTCTGAAACGCAGCTTTAGACTATAAAGCTCACAGAACTGAAGTCTTACAATGGGAAGGTCAAAGGTCAGATATGTTTGCATTTATTTACAGATCCAGGAGGTTAAACAACATACTGAGTACGGAAAAAAAATATTTTTCAGACTATTTGATGAAATGTAAGTATTCAAACTGGATGGTTTAGTTTATCCCAATGTCAGCTCACAGCTGCTCACTAGTACCTGTATATTTTACACACATATACATCCAACAGAAGCAGATTTCTGATGTGTTTTTGTTATTTCTGAGGTTTTGGGTAATTCTGTTTATCCAGAAATGAACTGTAAGAATGCTACATTCAGCTGGAATATCAAAGGATAAACAACCTGTGGACCTACACGGCATCGGGTAAGTGGCTTTAATGAGTCAGCTCCAGATATCTGCTTTTCCTCTCTTTATAAAAACAATAAAAAGTAAGTAACTCATCTGATATCAGTTCAGGCACAGGATATGGAGATATTTACGGTCTGCATAGATCAGTGAAATACACAAACCCACATTCACAGAAGAGGCTCGTCCAGTCGTCTGGCCTTTAATGTCCATGTTTCTCTGTTAGGACGTGGAAAAATAAGGAGTGAATAATAGAATAGAGACAGGAGTGTGTGTGTTTTCAGGAAGGTAAGGGGGACGGGACTCTGTTGGAGGGTTCGGGCTCCAGCTCAAAGCTGATGTTAACGAAGGAGGCCGCCGCCCCTTCAGGCTCCGCCCCCCCCGCCGTCGGGGGGGCGTCCACGTCGCCGCGGCAACCGCCCGAAAACTGACGCTCCGACTCCTCAGACAGACGGTTCTCCTCCTCCTCCTCCTCCTCCTGCAGGAAGAGACCCGCGGGAAACATTTTAGGTTAAACTGAGTTTTTATTTCTGTAAACATCAAACAAGGAGCGTCTCCCTTTTGTAAGCCAACGCCAAGGAATCAGAATCAGAAATACTTTAAGAATCCCAGAGGGAAATTATTTTTTGTTACCAACTCCAGATACACAGTACAACAGCATATACAGTGGGGGAAATAAGTATTTGAGCTCTTGCTGATTTTGCAGGTTTGACCACTTACAAAGAATGCAACGATCTATAACTTTAATCATATGTACATTCTAACAGTGAAAGACAGAATCCCAAAGAAAATTCCAGAAAATCACATCATATGAATTTATAAAAATTGATAACCATCTGATGAGGAAAAATAAGCATTCTTTGTAAGTGGGCAAACCTGCAAAATCAGCAAGGGGTCAGATACTTATTTCCCCCACTGTACATATATATATATATATATAACATTCCCCACAAAAATATAAATAAATATATACATATGTAACTTTATGTATATATACAGATCTAGAATAAGTGATAATGATAATGTGCAGCAGAATAAATATATGCCAATAATTTAGTAAGAATGACAGAGGGGGGGGGGTGTCCTACCTCTTTCTTAATGTGGTAGTACTCATCTATTGCATACTGGTACTTTGGAGTGGTGATGCCAAACAGAGAGGCGAGTCTCTCTCCCATGTAGTCACACACTGCAACAAAAAACAATAAACAGATTTATTATTAAATTCAGATAAACTCTCAGACTGGGCAGACCAGGCCAACAAAGCTCAGCTCAACAAAAACAGCAGTAGGAAAACACCTGGGTTGTTTTGTGAATATCTACCAAATCTATTTATTTAGCCAATCAAGTAAAATTAAACAGTCCACAGAATTTCCATATCATCACAAAGAAAAAAACAAACTATATAAAAACAATAGGTTTAAAGATAATTCATTCTTAATATAAAAAGATGTGTGAAACTGTTCATATTTGGTTAGATAGCGCGTAGACATAAGCATTCAATTTATGTCTGACCTCTTATGTTTGTCAGAAAAAAAGAAAGTATAGTTTCATATTAATGTACAAGGCTTATTTTAGTTTCGGTCACTGGTGGCAGTAATGCCACGTCACCACAAACTAAGAGAGCAAAAATAAACAAGAAGCTCCTGCTGTTGAACAAACAAACCATCAGAAACTTTAAGTTCAGATTCTTATAAATGTATGTGCACTCTGGCTTGTTTAGTTAGATTAAAGAAACATTTGAGACGATCTCACCTGAGACGGTGGAGGTGGCCATTCTCCACATGTGGAACCAAAAGTAAGGACCCCAGGTCAGTTTGGACTGAGTAGATATATGACAAAACATAATTACATTTAAAAGCAATTTTAAATATTACTAAAAGTATATTATATGTCCATCAGCTAATAAAAACCTTTTTTCTTCTTCTTAAATGCAAGTAAATAGAATAGGAGATTATGTGAGAACAATCACTTGTATATGTTACTGCAACATCTTTCAATATCTATAAGATTTAGTTTTCATTTAATCTAAAAAAGCTTTTCTATGTTAACAATAATGAAAAGAAAGTGTATTTAATGTAAATGTACACATAAGTAAATTGTATATCTTCTAAACAAATATTTTATTCACAATAAAGCAAAAATAAACAAACCTGAATCATTTAAACTTTTACTTTCAAAGTCTAAAGAATGTACGCACTGAAGAAACAAAAGGCTAAAATCATCATGGGTGCAGAAGAGAAAACAGGCTAACCAAAGTGATTTGTTTGGTTTAAAGATTGGATATGAGAAGAGCCCCTCATAGAAGCAGAGTCTCAGAGGTAAAACTGTGCAGACGTTCTGCGATCTGCATCTACTAACTCAGCCATTCCACAACTTTTCTCCCAATAAAATGAGTTATATTTATGATTAAACTAATAACCTTAGCCTACCGTATCAACGGTGGTGGCCTCTTGTTTCACAGGCTCCTCCTCCTCTTCCTCCTCATCCGTGCTGAACTCCTCCATGGTCTCTCCACTGGCAAAGTGGATGGTCCTGCGAGGAACTTTGACCCTCCCCTGCCTCCCTGTGGTCTCCATAATCTCCACCGTCTCAAAATCACCTGCAGCCTGAGAAAGTCACAAACAAACATATTGTTTATGTTTAATAAAGGGTTGTAAAACAATCTGGGTACCGTAAAACTACCAATGTTATTTATTTAAAGCCTCTGGCCATACCATGGACGGGCAACCTGCATGGTAGTACCCCACCTCTCCCCACTGTCAACCAGGACAATAATTTCCCTCTGGGATTATTAAAGTATTTCTAATTCTGATTCTGACAGGCTCTAGAATCCTAGTTTAGCAAATCTGCTCTAATTTAGTGCCTATGGGCCATTTTATTAAGTCACTAGATAGTTTTAGTCATTTCTCCCTATTAACCCAACTTATTTAACAGCAAGCAGTAATGGCAAACTTCAACCAGATGTGGTAGTTAAAGGAAAAAGTTATGGTATGTGGCTGTAAAACATTCAACCAGTTTGGAACTGCACAGGAGATCCACAAAGCTAAGATCCCTCTGTTTACAGTTTTAAATTAATCCCAGACTATATTTGAATAAAGCACTCAAGATAATATTGAATAAGTAAAGGCTGATTTAATCTGGTTTAATGGGAAGAGAAGGGCTTCAGGGGGAGTTGACAGGCTTTACTATGAGGAAAACGTTTGAGGAAATCATTACACTAAACGACCAGAGAATTCCAGTAAACTTATTTTAGCTACGAGGTGTTTGTTAGCCGTTAGCCTTAAAGACAAGGAAGTAACTGTCGAACAACCTTATAAAACTACTTTCTGGTTTTCCAAGTTTACTAAACATGAGAGATTGTTCATTTGTAGCCACTAACCTTTTCGGTTTCCATAGTTTGACCCAATGAAACGTTCACATTAGTCAAATACAACGACAAATCTGCCATCTCAGTCGTTTCATCCGCTTGACCGCGACCGTTGGTGTGTGTTCCGGTACACAGTTGAACTTCCGGTCTGTTTTCACAACAAAAGCCTAATTTTCGCCAATCTTTTTGGGGGCACAAACTAAACCCCAGAACTACTTTTACACTTAGAATTAAACTAAATTAGTGCACATCTCAATCAAAAGATAGTTTCGAGTCATATGATCTGTTTGATCCATTTGAGATATTTTTCAGCTCTTTTGGAAAATGCTAAGATTCATATATTATGTAGGATGTAGTATGTTTTTTATAGATAAAATGTAATCAAAATTCTAGCAAATTTTAATCAAACTCTAATCCTTCTAACTAAAATGCAACTAAGTAAAATATGCCTTTTCCTTTGTCAAAGTTTGGACTCTATGAAGATGTCACAAATCTCAGAAATCCATGATTGAAAAAGGGTTAAATCATTTTACGGATATACGTGGATAAATACAAATGTGAAGTCAAGAAATAAAGAAAAACTATTACTGAAAAGACAGAACAAAGAAAAAAACAGTTAACAGCATTCATTCTAACTGAAAAAGCCAATACAATTAGCATAATTCAGTGAGTTTTACAGCATACATTTCCCTTGGTTTTTTGTTTCCCCAGGTTTTTACCGTGTAACTCTTAAGTATTATCTTATTTTAACTTTTTATTATTAGTAAACACATTGAAATACACATTAAATACACGTTATTAATATGTACAGCAGTGGATAATTTAACTTGCCAACGGTTTGTAACCGTTTGTAACGGCTGGAAGTTTACGCTTTATTTTAAAGTTAGCCAAAGGAAGCGGTTCCCCGTGTGAGTGCGGGACTTGATGGTCGTAGTAGAGGAAGACGGAGCCTCTGGTTGTGTTTTGGTCCAGAGGAGTCGACCTCGGTCACAAAAATGACAGCCAAGAAGTCTGGCTCACGGCTGGAGACCGAGATAGAGCGGTGCCGCTCGGACTGCCAGTGGGACAAGATACCGGAGCTGGTTCGCCAACTGTCCGCTAAATTAATCTCCAACGGTAGGTAACGTGCGGGGGCTCGCGCCGCTCTTTCATCGGGAGTTGGAGGCCTTCCTCCCGGCCCCAGTCCTCGGAGCTTCCTGACCGGTTGGAGCCGGGACCAGGGGCTGTCAGCACGGTTCCCAAATCAGAATCGGTTAACTAGTAGGAGTCAAGAAAATATACTGGTCCTTTCATGGAAAATGTCTCTGCTTTCGGGTGGTTTGTGTGCACGTTCCCATACGTTAAGTGTTATGGTGGGTCACCGTGAGGCTGAACCCAGTAAGAACTCCATCCCTGGGTGAGTGTTGTTGTACATGTCTGACACCTATTGAGGTTTTGGGGATCATTAATATGTAAGGTGACAAACATGGCCGTGTTAAAACAAGAAAAATAACCAGTGTCACCTATATTTCTTAGCATCCCATTGTTTTGATTGAGTGCTAACTGGGATGCTAACTGATGCTAACGCCAAACAGTTCAGGGTTTTACTGAATGTGGGTAAACAATGTGGGGCTTTTCACCAGACAATATTGATATTCAAAAAAGCTTTAGTTTGTGTCTTAATCGTGCACCTTAATATTTTGTCCTGGAAACTAACACATTTTCCAGAAGCCAAAGGGAATGATTTTTCCTGCAGATACACGCTAACTGTCAAACTATGACAGATATTTCAGAAATGTTAAACTTGTCATGAAGTCATTGTTGATTACTTGAGGCCTTATCAACGACTTAATAACTAGTTTAACTCTGAATTAAAGTTATATTTGGATTCGTAGTTGCTTTCGTTGCAGTGGGCTCTACATTTGATGTAAATAAATATGTTTAAGTCTTTATCCTGATATTACTAATAGGGACAGAATCACCTGATACACTTCAAAATAATCAAATATTTATAGTGTTGGTAAAACGTCCAGCTCTGTCCCGGACCAATTTTCATCACCATGAATATGCTGCTGCCAAGTTTGTTATTAATACCAGCCTCTGGAGTAATACTCCACTTGCTGAGAGATTTCTTTCCCCATAAATTACAGGAAAACCTTTAGAGGTCTGTGGGCAGACAAGGAACTGATTAAGGAAAGTGCCCCTCTCAGTTTTACATTTGAATTAGGATAATAGAGAATTTTAGGTCTTGGATTCTCCAAGTTAGAAATTACTATGTCTAACATGTTTGTTTTTTTAATCTGCTGATAATGCTTTACTACTTTATCATATTTCAGTTTCAAATAAAACTCTCCACATGTGTCTGTGTCAGCTTTAAACTGAACAAGTCTACAGCAATATAGATGGAGTTTCGTGTAATCACCTTAAAACACGTAGTAAAAAAATGAAAGTATTTACATGCATGCAACCGCTACTGCTTAATGTGTCGGGGACATTAAAGTATTGTGCATAGGCCATGAAAACAATGTCCATAACTTACAAGCTCTTGTTAAGCCATAAAAACAAAAAGGAACTTGGCATTTACATTTAAAAAGCAACAAAAAAAAATCATATTCAAAGATATTTCAACATCACAATGGTCATCGTATTATAGGCTAAATAAGTTAGAATAAGTTATTTGGTCTAATTGGTCTGTAACAGAAATTTGTGATATTTTATGACCGGAAAAGTTTGAAATATTAGTGTAGATTTTTACTGGGATTTAGTGAACAGAATTACAGGACATTTAAGCCTTGGAATATCTTCACAAATATTCCCGTGACTGAGAAGCTGGAGTATAATACGGGCTGGTATGTGCACACGCAAAGCAGCCGTTCTGTGTTTGAAGATTTCCGTCTGTAATTATTGGCAGGGCAACCCTTAAAGAAGCATTTTTACATTTCCATTGGCTTTGCTTTAGTTATTTGATCACAGATTTATTTGACCATGTGTAGATATTTGTAACTATATTTAGTTTAGATCATTTGGTTTGGTGTCGGACTGATAAATGCAATACTGGGCTATCCCTCTTTTCTTTATATGTGCTCAGCTTCCAAGCAGTCAGATGTTCTGTAATCTTTTAAAGTGGTCTTGAATAACACATCCAATGTTTAGGAATAGGAACCGGTCTGACAGGGTTCAGCCTGTGTTGGAGAATGAAAGCAAATATTAGCAAATGTTGAAGTTCTTCCAAACAAATGCTTAAATTAAGTGTGGCTCCAAGGCTTTCACAGCTCTATTGATTTAGTTTTAGAGTAAAAAGTCCCTGCTGAGGACCAATAAACGCTTGTGATCTCATGGTTTTGGCATTTTTGTGGGCAGATGATTTGGGTGAGCTGCTGTTGGGGGAATGCAAGCTCCAGACGTACCTGAAGGAGAATCCCATCAAACAGGGAGCGAGTCCCCGTGGCCCCCGTCCCAAACTGGTGGAGGTCAGGAAGCATCTCACCGCTGCTCTGGACAGAGGAAACCTCAAGGTAGCTCAGGAACCAGATGGGTCATTCGCAGAGTGACTGACCAACGAGTTAAAAATAACTGAAACTTTAATATTTTGTTTTTTTTCCAACTCTCCTCCAGGCCGACTATCTCCAGGAAGTCCGTTTGTTGATGGCCAAGCTCTGTTATGTGGAGGGAGAATACAGAGATGCTCTAGGTACCTTTTCCTGTTTGCTGATTGACAATCTGTAACACTGGCCGGGTTAATAAGTTACATAACTGTGTGGGTAATTGATGTTTTTCCAGATCACTACAGCCGGGTGAACCTGGATGACATGCAGCTGGTGGGGGCTCCCGTGTACAGGTTGTCCATGATAGCAGAGGCTTATGCCACCAAAGGTACACACAGCCACCGTTTGTGTCTATGAGCTTCTTAATCT